AGAGTCTTGCTCTGTCACCCAGGCTGTGGCATGATCTCAGCTCACTGCAACCTCTACCTCCTGGGTTCAAGCGATTCTCCTGCCTCAGACTCCTGAGTAGCTGGGATTACAGATGTGCATCGCCATGCTTGGCTAAATTTTGTGTTTTTAGTAGAGACGGGGTTTCACCACTTTGGCCAAGCTGGTCTGGAACTCCTGACCTCAGGTGATTCACCCACCTCGACCTCCCAAAGTGCTGGGATTATAGGCATGAGCCACCACGCCTAGCTAGTGTTAGATCTTACGTTCAGTTTCCTTTTTCCTTAGGAACAGCTATGCACATTGTAAAGGGTGCCTCTTCCTTAAGGAAACTGAGTTGTTATGAACAACATGGGCTTCTGTTGGAGGGCTTTCTGGATCCCAGCAGGCAGCAGCATGGTTGCCTTGCATGCTTGAGTTTTACACTCCCATGCATCCTGAAGCCAAGTACACCTGCCCCTCACACACTTGGCATTGCACTTCCTGCTGCGGTCCTGACTCAGGCAGGGGTGGAATTGGCTATAGGTTGTGGGCAGGGAAGGGAAGTGAGCTCAGGGATCCCCAGAGCATGGCCAAGACAAAGCACTGGGGCGTATGTGTATGTGTGCATGTGCGGGTTTATGAGAGGGGTTTACTGTGAGGGGGCTTCCTGCTGCCCCAGGACTTGGATGAGAGTCCTGGATTTCCCACCCCGGCCCCCCCCCAACTCTCACATAGGTTAGCTCCGTTTGGATGGGCACAGCACCTTTGTGCCATGCACATGATGTGCCTGGAACCTGGCCTGGCATCACTCACCTCCAGCTGCATCTCCCAGGCCGGGTCTCCACCTCCTGCTCATCCTAGGGATGCGGCCCAGAACTGTTAGAGGCTGTGTTAATGTTTGGTCAGGTCTTTAAATGTGAGGGGAAGAGGGTGGATGAAATCATTTATGCTGAGGGTCTGTAGTTTTTATAAGCCAAGGTTAAGGTCTAGTTGAGAAGAGGGCTCAAAAAAACGCCTGGCTAGAGTTTGTTCAAGGAGGGTGTGTGTGTGTGTGTGTGTGTGCGTGCGTGCGTGCGTGTCTGTGTGTGTGTGTGTGTGTGTGTGTGTCTATTCAGAGAGCAGGCAACTTGACTTCGAAGACCAATCCCAGTAAACCAACCAGGAGTAAGGGGCCTCAGAGGAGGAGGGGAAGCGAGGGCAGGCCCAGGTTCATGTGACCTTAAATGTAGACAGTTAAGGAGAGGCTGTCTTTAAAAAAAAAATGCAAAATTAGGAATACAGTGTTAGACTGAGGGCCTCAGAGGGGCTCATTCAAGGAAGGGGGCCCGAAGTTTAACCTTCTGTAGGTTCACAGCAGACCTGCCTCTGGGAAAGGGTACACAGGGTCCAGGCCATATGAACAGCAAAAATGAAGGCCAGGAGGATAGAGTGTTTAGGGAACGGAAAACTTTTCCAACCCGGTTTGCATGAAGGTAAAGCTAGAGAAATGTCTGGAGATCCAATTACAGAGCTCTTCTGGCTCCACCTGAGTAAAAATCCTATTCTGTCAGCTGTGCAGAGCCACAGGATTTTGGAGGGGGGTGATTTGATCGCTTATTTATGTATTAGATCACTCTCAAAGAAGGGAGGAGGAGGGGCTGGAGCCAGGTAAGGCAGGAAGCAGATGCCAGGCCGAGGGTGTTTACAGACACTCCTACCACATGGCGAGGAAGATCCCCCATAGATAATGACTTCAGAACAGATGCCGGGGTTCAGATAGAGCAGGTTCTTCATCAAAAACATCTAGATTAATATTTCCCCAAGTTTAAAAGCATGCTTCTGTGTATTTTTGTGGAAATGAGGCCTCCCATAGACAGAATATTTATGTCCCCCTAAAATTCATATTAAATCCTAGTGCCCAAGCTGATGGTATTTGGAGGTGGAGCCTTTAGGAGGTGATTAGGTCATAAGGGTGGAGCCCTCACAATTGGGATTAGTGCCCTTGTAGAAGGGGCTCCAGAGAACTCCTTTGCCCTCTTTCCACCCTGTGAGGACGCAATGAGAAGTCCGCTGTCCATGAACCAAGAAGTGGACCCTCCTCAGAAACCAACCAGGCTGGCACCCTGATTTCAGACTTCCAGCCTCCAGAACCATGAGAAATAGATGTTTGTGGTTTAGAAGCCACACAGTCTATGATAATTTGTTACAGCAGTCCAAACTGACTAAGACAAAGCCTAAGCTATCCTGAGATTTGTTTTTGATTAATTCTTTTCTGTTTTGCTTCATATGTTTTAGAGACAATGTCTTGCTATGTTGCCCAGGCTGGAGTGCAGTGTCTACTCACAGGCACGTTCACTGGGCACTGCACCCTCGAAGCAATTAATCGCTGGCCCCAAGCCATCCTCCCTCCTCAGATTCCACAGTAGCTGGGACCACAGATGTGTATCACTGGGTCCAGCTGATTAACCTTGCATGCTGTAACATTTAGTTGTTAATAAAAAATTGCATATTTGTTTTGTTTGCCTTAGGTGTCATGCATATAAAAAAGAATAGGTTTTTAAATGATGATTTTAATTTTATTTAATTAATTAACTTTTTGAGACAGAGCCCCACTCTGTTGCCCAGGCTGGAGTGCAGTGGCCTGATCTCGGCTCATGCAACCTCCGCCTCCCAGGTTCAAGCGATTCTCCTGCCTCAGCCTCCCAAGTAGATGGGATTACAGGCATCTACCACCACATCCACATCTGGCTAAATTTTTGCATTTTTAGTAGAGATGGGGTTTCAATGTGTTGGCCAGACTGGTCTTGAACTCCTGACCTCAGGTGATCCACCCGGCTCGGCCTCCCAAAGTGCTGGGATTACAGGCGTGAGTCATCGCACCTAGCCACTAAATGACGATTTTTAAAGACAGATAATTATGCCACATCTTAATATTTAATACTTTATTTCTACATATGACATTTTGATACAGACATGCCCCGTATCATATTGACTCTGTTACATAAACTGTAGCTGTGTTGAGGGCAGGGTCCGCTGCTAAAGGCAAAGTTTTAAAATGAAAAGTTCATCTACCATTAGGCAAGTCTTGTTGCTTTAAGTTAGAAAGTTTTATTAGATCCCTGGAAGTTGATGCCTGCTTTTCCTCTCAAATTTTATTCATTTTTTTTTCTTTTTGAGACAAGATCTCACTCTCACCCAGGCAGGTGTGCAGTGGTGAGATCATAGCTCACTGCAGGCTCAACCTCCTGGGCTCAAATGATCCTCCCACCTCAACCTCCCAAGGAGCTGGGACTACAGGCATGTGCTATCAGGCCCAGATAATTTTTTTTTGTATTTTCTGTAGAGATGGGGTTTTGCCATGTTGCCCAGGCTGGTCTCAAATTCCTGAGCTCAAGCAATCCTCCCGTCTTGGCCTCCCAAAGTGCTGGAATTTCAGGCGTGAGCCACCACATCCAGCCCAGATTATCTTTTTTAAATTATTGACAGGTAAATATCTGGTCTGCTATAATCAAGAAATTTCCTGTTGAGGCTAAATCTGAGAGGTAGCATCTTGGAAGTAGAACCAGCAGACTCTATAACCATTTTTCTTTACAGTCTCAAGGAAAAGAGTGGCTGTATTGGTTCATTCTGCCCTTCTGCCTGTGCAGATGAAAGAAAAGCAATTGACAAAATGCCTACATTTTAATGTGAGATGGCAGAGACTCCGCATACTTCACTTCAAGGTAGTCTAAGAATCTACGGGGTTCCCCAGACTGGAGGGCATCTCAGACACCAGCTGGTGCCCTGACCCTTCACTTTATAAAGCAGAAAAAAAAAAAAAACCTACCACAAGGTTTAATGTATGTCACAAGAGCCAAGCTGCTTCAGGTTGGAAGAACAGTGGGCCCCATGCCCACCCCGATTCCATGAAGTGACTGAAATGGCCCCATGGACTTTTGCAGCTCAGCTTGAAACAGCTCATTTGGTCCAATTCTTCTATTTTTCACTTATAAAATTGGTGCCCAGTGAGATAAAGTGACTTATTTCTGTTTGAATTGAGCAGAAATAAATCTTAATTTCCCTTTTCAAAAAGATAACTCTCACCGCTATGTCACACACTGTTATATTTTTTAAATGTTTGCAGGTGTTAAAGCATGCTCCTTAATGAATCTTTTCATCTCTTGGGAAATAAACCATCACATATTGTGGAAATTCTTCCTTTGAATTTCTAAAATCATGGAACATATACTCATATGGTATATCCACAAAAGGCACCAGGTATTATGCAGACACTTTTGTTTCTTTCAGACAGGGTCTCACTGTGTCGCCTAGGCTGGAATACAGTGGCACAAACATGGCTCACTGCACCCTTGAACTCCCTAGCTCAAGTGATCCGCCTTCCTCAGCCTCCTGAGTAGCTGGGACTATCAGTGTGCACCACCATGGCTGGCTAATGTTTTTATTTATTTATTTTTATCATTATTTATTTTTATAAAGATGGGGTTTTCAGGCTGGGCGCGGTGGCTCACGCTTGTAATCCCAGCACTTTGGGAGGCCGAGGCGGGTGGATCACCAGGTCAAGAGATCGAGACCATCCTGGTCAACATGGTGAAACCCCGTCTCTACTAAAACTACAAAACATTAGCTGGGCATGGTGGTGCGTGCCTGTAATCCCAGCTACTCAGGAGGCTGAGGCAGGAGGATTGCTTGAACCCCGGAGGCGGAGGTTGCAGTGAGCCGAGATCGCGCCATTGCACTCCAGCCTGGGTAACAAGAGCGAAGCTCCGTCTCAAAAAAAAAAAAAAAAAAAAAAGATGGGGTTTCACCATGATGGCCAGGCTGGTTTTGAACTCCTGACCTCAGGTGATCCACCCACCTCAGCCTCCCAAAGTGCTAGGATTACAGGCATGAGCCACCACGCCTGGCCTGTTTTTATTTTTTTGTGGAGACAGAGTCTCACTATGTTGCCCAGGCTCAGACACCTCTATATACGTGATCATTTAACACTTTGGAACAAGAAATTCATCCCATTGTACTGATTCAACATCCGAGATTCAGAAATTATGTTTTTTTTTTTTTTTGGAAGACTACAAGATGAACCAGGCAATCTCTTCAGCTCCTGTTGTCAGGGAAATTTACTTAGATTTTCTGAAAGAGCAGTTGAGCAGTTCTGAGTCATTTGCCTCTTCGAGAGATTGTTTCTGTTTCAGACGGCTTTCATTTTTCTTTTTTGTATTTTGACTATTTAGAGTTTATCTGATCTAAATACATGTTTTCTCACAGAGGGCAGAAATTGCTTCATAATTAGTCATTTTTGTCCTTTCTTTCTTCTGATAAACCTGCCTTCTCTTCCTCTGCAAGAGTTCACGGTGATGTGCAAGGTCCACTCTTTACGCTAAGTGACAGTGACTATAATTTGCTGAGAAAGCAGTGACCAAACCATTGGCTCCTTCAGAGGCTGGTTATTTCAACCATCTGGAGAAAAATGGAGGCTCCTAATGCAGAGGGAGGATCTTAAGTCATCTAGAGCAAAGACTCATTTGTTCATTCATTCATTCTCCCATGCACTCGTTGGACAAACTTGAATAGTGTACTATGCCCCAGAGGTGTGAAGAAGGATAAACTATGGAGAGGCCCATTCACATGTCAGGGTAGAGGAGAAGTGCTCTAAGAACACCAGCTCCAGGTCACCCAAGGATGACTGGGAAGGCTCCAGGCAGATCAAGCTTTCGAACTGGGCTTGGAGGAAGGTCCTTGATTCTCGAGGTGGAGTTGGGAGGCAGCCATCCCAGCAAAGAAAATGACAGCAGAGAAGCTGGAGACACCGGAATGAGGAGTGGACCAGTCAGAGTCCTTATTCCTGGATGTGCTGGGAGACAGTTGGAGTCCTACAAAGACCTGAATGCCGTGCCGAGAAGTTTTAGTCCTTAGGAGCTACTGACTGTTGTCAGCAGAGGGTGACAGCGCCTATCCTGGTAGCTGCCCATGGGGAATGGTGAGCTGGGGAGGAAGATCCTCAAGGCCGTGAGGACAGAATGCAATACCCCTGATGTGGTCTAGGGAAAGGCGGTGAAGGCCAGAACTAGGGCGCCGGTGGGGAGGATGGGTGGGCAGGAGAGCCGTGGAAAGCAGGGGGAAGCCAGAAGGAGAGCTGGAGAAGGACCTGAGGTGGGGGTGAAGATGGTGGGAGTGTCAAGGGGATTCTCACATTTTTATTTTTAACTTTAAAATTTTTTTAATAGAGACAAACTCTCACCATCTTGCCCAGGCTGGTCTCAATTTCCTGGGCTAAAGTGATCCTCCTGTCTCAGTCTCCCAAAGTGCTGGGATTACAGGAATGAGCCACCATGCCCGACCGATCCTCACATTCTTTTATTTATTTATTTTTTTGATATAGAGTCTCGCTGTGTCACCAGGCTGGAGCAAAATGGCGCGATCTCGGCTCACTGCAACCTCTGCCCCCCAGGTTCAAGCGATTCTCCCACCTTAGCCTCCCGAGTAGCTGGGATTACAGGCGTGCACCATCACGCCTGGCTAATTTTTGTATTATTAGTAGAGATGGGGTTTCACCATGTTGGCCAAATTGGTCTCAAACTCCTGACCTTGAGTGATCTGCCCGCCTCGGCCTCCCAAAGTGCTGGCGTTACAGGCATGAGCCACCGTATCTGACCAGTTCTTATATTCTGAAATGACAGTTAAGCCCTGGACTCAAGCCAGGGACAGAAGCCGATGACCCGGTTTTGGTGAGAAGGTTATGTGTATGTTTCTGAACATGTTGATGATGAGACTAAGTCTTATGTTTCTTGTGCACCTCCCTTGGCACCTAGAAGAAAGGTTAAAACAGGGCAATTTCCAGAGGGACGATCTTAAGACAGGAGCCATCTGGGCACAGACGCCCCAGAGGCCCTTGGGAGTGAGGTGCGAGGGCAGCATTGGCTTGCCTTATGTGCTTCTCCTACTCTTTCTTCTTTTCCTTTTAAAAGTAACTGAAGCCTAAAGGTGAAAATGACTTTTAAACAGTAGAAACTATGTTAGCCCTACTCCCCTCCCCCATTAGCTCCAGATTGGTGGCGATCACCGTTTTGTGCACCGAGCCTGGGTCTCATGCTTGCAAGTCCTTGGGCTCATCCGGAGTCAGCTTCATCAGTTTGTCCACACAGAGCAGGATGAGAGTGAGGAACCAGAGGCTCCAGCCAACTGCCGCCGCGATCCAGCCGTACTCGTCCACCCCTGCGCGGCAGCACCGGGCTGCCTGTGGGCAGAAGTCCACATCTGGTGGGGAAGGGAGAGCAAGGATGACTGCAGGCCCCGCCAGCCCCGCCCAGGCTTCTCTACCGTGAATATTCACAGAGCAATCGACCCGGTAGCAGACACTGCTGAGGGCCTCCTACCTGCCGTGCACTGTGCTGAGTGCTTTTACACGTTAGCTCATGCCTTCCTCACAAAGCGATAGGTGCGATTTTTATTCTCGTTTCACATGAAGAGACTAAGGCTGTAACTTGGCTGAGGTCACAAGATGGCAAAAGGAGAACTCAAACCCAAGTCTGCAAGACTCCAAAGCCATACTCTTAACCTCTAAGTGTTATTCCCTATTATCCTTCCTTTTTTTTTTTT